TGTAATCCCAGCGCTCTGGGAGGCCGAGGTGGGTGGATCACCTGAGGTCAGGAGTTTGAAACCAGCCTGGCCAACATGGTGAAACCTCATCTCTACTAAAAATACAAAAATTAGCCGGGTGTGGTGATGCATGCCTGTAATCCCAGCTATTTGGGAGGCTGAGGCAGGAGAATTGCTTGAACCAGGAGGCAAAGTTTGCAGTGAGCCAAGATTGCGCCATTGCTCTCCAGTCTGGGAAACAAGAGAGAAACTCCGTCTCAAGAAAACAAAACAAAACAAAACAAAAAACTTTGTTGCATGCATAAAACTACTTATTTATTTATTTGGAGACAGAATCCTGTTCTGTCGCCCAGGCTAGAGTGCAGTGGCATGATCTCAACTCACTGCAACCTCTGACTCCTGGCCTCAGCCTCCTGTGTAACTGGAACTACAGGTACCTGCCACCATGCCTGGCTAATTTTTGTATCTTTAGTAGAGATGGGGTTTTGCCATGTTGGCCAGGCTGGTCTCGAACTCCTGACCTCAAGTGACTTGCCCGCCTTGTCCTCCCAAAGTGCTGGGATTACAGGCATGAGCCACCACACCTGGACAATTTGATGTATAATTTTTTAAAAAAATTGTGTAAAATTACCTTTTGGCTATGCATATATGGTGTACATGAAACATAAATGAATTTCACATTCAGACTTGGATCCCTCGCCATCTCACTATATTAGTCTTTGAACATTTCATTGCAATTCCCCAGCCTGACCTCAGGCCAAAGATTAGATATAAAATCTGATTATGTTTTAGGATGACGCAAATTGAGAACAACACACTATTTCCCTTCTTTCTCCTTTGCCTTTCCTTCCCCTAAATTACAACAATTAAAAAGCAAAAACATGCAGTCTATGAAGACTGCCATGATAGCTGCAGAAATGTCAAAATCCTTACTCTCAACTACCACGACCACAACAGATTTACTGCTCTAGTGGCAGAAGCTAGCGCATTGGCTGTTTGTCCCATCAGAACAAACAAACATTTGGTTCTCTGTTGAACTGAACATGGAGGTCTCTCCGAAGTCTGCTGGAGAGTATATTGCAAAGGAACTATTACGAGGTTGGCAGGGTGGGAAGTAAAGTTCTAAACTGAGAATTATTTGAAACATTTTCAAGCTAAGACCGCTTTTTTTTCCCTTCTGGTAGTTTTGAGATAAGATAACCGGGAGTTGAAGGAGGAAAGTTTCCACATTCTTGTTATGGCATGGGCTTCCTGTTTACACCTTTGGAGGGAAAATGGTATACATGGGTTCCTGAAGTTCTATTTTCAGCATGTTTGTTGCTTATTCAACAATCATTGGGTTAGGCCCTGGGGCAATAGAAATGACTGGCATGGGGCCTATAGGAGCTGGAGTCCAGGGAAGATGTGAACCTGTAAAGGTCATTAAATCATAGTATGAGAGCGACTGTGAGGGAAATTTGGAGGTCAGGAGGCATTTTTCTATGAAAAAAAAAAAAATACATCAAAGTTAAGTTCTCAGACCGTTAACCTAAAGCCAATTTTTACCTTTGATATTACTAATAATAATACCTAAGCTTTATTCAGACTTGATAAGTCCCAGGAATAATTCTAAACCTTTATCTAATCCTTTCAATGGTTCTATGAGGTACTATTTTTTTTGTTTGTTTTTTTGAGACGGAGTCTGGCTCTGTCGCCCAGGCTGGAGTGCAGTGGTGCGATCTCAGCTCACTGCAAGCTCCACCTTCTGGGTTCACGCCATTCTCCTGCCTCAGCCTCCCGAGTAGCTGGGACTACAGGCGCCC